AAAAAAAAAAAAAAAAAATAAATTTAACATGTTTTGTCTTTACAAATGACTTCATTCGAGTGGTTGGATAAGATACGTTAAGTTTTAATACGCGAATGACACTACGTGACGAGATATTTCGATGCTACTCAAACGAGCAACACAATACACCAGCGATAAACGATAAAAACTGACAAAAGAAACCCGTCGCGAGATAGCGCGTAAAATCCAACAATAGCCCAAATTTCCAACGAAAAGTTTATGTTCACTGAGCGCGTCGGGGCTCGAGAAACAAAGTGACCGTCGTCGGGGCAACGGAGTAGAATTTTCGTGGAGCCGAGGGGAACGCGATTGCACTCCACTGCAACCGGTTAAACTTAGAGAGAGGAGAATTACCGTGGAACAGCAGCGTAAACATGTCGGAGTAGCGAGTGCACGTGTTAATGTTTGAACGAGACATCAAAAGCGGGCGGAACTCTCTCCGATCGTTCGCCGCTTCTATGGCTGCTGTCCGTCGATGGTTACTCGTTCGTTTTCTTCGTTCAACTTCTCCCCCACCCCCTCTCTCTCTCTCGTCTCTCGTGTCTCGACCTGGTCGTTTCTCGTCGAAACGTTTGATTTATGATCGCGATAGATCATCCTTTCCCGATCCGCCGGTTTGTTTGCACGCAAATTTGCAGAATGCCCGTGTCGCGGATTCCTCTCCGCAGCTGGAGTTTGTTTCCAACTAGAACCAGAGAGAGATGCGATGTATTCGAGACGAATATTATCCGAGCTCGATGATTACGATCGTTACGATCGAGGTTAACGCTCATGATTTTGCAGAGGACGGGGAGGAGGACATGTTCGAGGCGCAGAATCACGGGCAGAATCTTCAGAGCAGGAAGAAACGGAGCAGAGCGGCCTTCTCTCACGCGCAGGTTTACGAATTGGAGAGAAGATTCGCAGCACAGAAATACTTGTCGGGCCCTGAACGGGCGGATCTTGCTCGAGGACTGAAGCTGACCGAAACTCAAGTGAAGATTTGGTTCCAAAACAGACGGTACGGCGTTAGAGCGTAATCGATAGAGTTTCATTATAGATAAAAAGAATTCTTCAATCGCGTCCATAAATGATATTTTCACAAACATCGAACACGAAATAACATCTGGTGGTTTAGCAAACGGGTTTTATCTTCAAATATGTTTCATTCACAACTAACTTAACCGGCCCCCCCGTCTTCTAACTTTACCCGCCGTGTTCTTATTTGTTTAAACTACACCTTTCCAATCGCGTAGAAACAAATTTCGAACACCGCAGAAACTGAAAGCAAATGAAATCATCAAACTGACATCCGCGTTCCATTATATACACAACTAATTTCACCGATCCGTCTTCTAACTCTATCCGCTAGAGTTGCTCAACGATACTCGTCTACATTTGTTTAAACTATCTCATCATTTTAATCGCGTAGAAGGGAAACTGAGAGCAAACGAAATTATGAAAAAAACTGATATATCCACGATATTCCCTGATTCAGGTACAAGACCAAAAGACGACAGCAGCAGGAGCTAGGCGCGCTGGTTAATTCCGGAAACGCGAGACGCGTGGCGGTGCGAGTTCTCGTGCACCCGGACGAGCATCTGAGGGGATTGCCACTTCGTGGTTCCGGGCAACTTCCTGGGCAAATGTCAGCCCCGCAAATTCATCCGGCGAACAAAGCGCTCGGCGGTTTCCCATACTATTGCCTCCCCTATCATCCCCTGCTCTGTCCGCCCCTTCACTCCACTCATATTCAGGTGCAAAACACGATCGCGCCGGACCTCGATCCCAGCCAGCTGGCGAAACTCAACGACGAGAAGTAAAGCGACATTTTCACGCCCGTTTCAAACGGGCATCGAAAATGAAAGTGGCCATCGGTCGGTTGATTTTGGCCAGCTTCGAATTACCACGCACGGCGGGGCAGGCGGGCGGTTTGTTCAACGTTCACCTGTGTGTACACCTATCGCGTTTATTGTTGCGATCGAAATCGAAATTCCGCGGGCAATCATTTGCATCGCTGCCAAGCCAGTCTGCTTAACCCCCTTGTAAACACGATGTAATTTAAAAGTTATCAACGACTTTAGATACGATCGGAAATGAAATTTTTGTTTGGTTGTCTGCGTATCATCGTACGAATATTGATTTACTTATCTTCTTAGAAATATGTCGAATGAATTATATTTCACGATTGACGGATTTTAAATTCGAGTCAAATTCGAGCCACAGTTGACTAATTAATGTTAATTAATATTCTTACGGTTACAGAGGATTAAAACGATCGAT